TCATTTTTCAATCAAATAGGCCATTAATAAAAATCAAAATTATGTTTCCCTGCTGTCTCCACCAAGATGTCTCTTTGATGCACTGGCCTATGTTGTGAGTTTTCTTGCTGCTCTTAAAAGACTATTCCTGTACACTATTTAATAATTTTGTTTTATAATTAAACTCTACCACACCACATCTTGCACACTAATTTTATACTTTTTTGGGTAATTGATGGACCTGACTACAGATCTAAGTTTTCTTGGGTCAGACTTAATTAGATATCTTTGTAATATGGAAAACTCAAAATTGATATAGTCATGCCTATATGAAGAAAGACAGGGTCTGGTCCCTGAATAAAAGCAAGGGCTCAGAGTGAGGGGAATGGTGGCCCCATATGGAGAATGAAGGAAGTGGGTTCTGGAGAGGCAGGAGATTGGTCAGAGACATAAGTTCAGCTGCAGGTGATGAAGTCGAAGGGATGGAAAGACAGCTTTGCAGAAAAACCCAGGCTGTCTGAGAATTTGGAATGAGAATTGAGAAGACAGTTCAAGGCTAATACAGAACTGGGAGTCAGCTGAAAAGAGCAAATGTTGCAACTCTATGTAATTTCCCATAGAAATGTGAAAAGAGAACAACCAGGACTGAGCCATGGGAGTGGCCACATGTGATGTCAAGTGTGAATCCACATAGTTATTTTGGTGAAAGAAGCATCAGTGAGGGAAGCAGAGAAAGTCCAACGTGGGAGAAATGTGGGAACCACAGAGTATATAAAAGGCAAAAAGCTGAGGAATAACTGAACAACTGTGGCCCTGTTCTTTCCTGCTCTCACTGGTGCCCACGAGCTGTGGAATTTGGTGAAGTTGAAGGTTACTGTGAAAAAGGCCATTGAGTGTCATGGGTAAGACTGCCTAGGTTCAGATCCTGACTCCACCAGTTGTCCCTGTGGAACTTAGGTCAAGTTGCATTTCACTTTGTGCTTCAGTTTGCTCTTCTATAAATCAAGGTGATAAGCCAGTGCCCTTTTTGTAAGGTCAGTTTGGCAGTCTGACCACTGCAAAAGACAAACTTCTCACTAAGCTGAAGATGAAATTGCCTAAATTTCTTGTTCCGCACCATATGGTGGTATCCCAGCTGACAGGAAGCTTGTTTCTGCAATCCACGAGGCTCATTTCACTGAGTCGGCTGATGCGAGATTTGTGGGGCGGTCATTTCCTAATCTCAGCACTGGTCTTTATCGTGATGCTTTCTTTCTATGCCTTTACATAAGAAACAAATGCTCCTAATGATGGAGAGAGACAGATTTTATCCTAAATCGTCTCAAAGAGACCCATCATAAGCACAAGTGACAACTACAACAACATCCACCTGCCTTGAAGAGACCAAAAACACAGTAATTCTTCAGCCCTTAGTCTGCATAGTGGTGGGGTGGGTGGAAGAAAATTCTTAAGTGATACCAGTATAGTTTTGTACACTAAGATTCAACCAAAGTGTTGGGACATCTACAATTACTCGGTATCTTTGCAAAGTCAGATTTAAAAGCAGCGAGTTGATTCATGAAGCACTAAGAAACTAATGGGAAGTGCCAAACACCATTTGTACAAAAGGATCTTGGCATGAGATACCATCACTCTTTCCCCTGGGCAATTACTTTACATCTGGTAGAGCAAAGTAGTCTTGAATAAGAGAACAGCTTGAAAAGTGTGTGTGTGTGTGTGTGTGTGTGTGTGTGTGTGTGTGAGTGTGTGTGTGTGTGTGTGTGTGTTGTGTGTGTGTGTGTGTGTGATTAAAGCCCCAAACCTAGTACTATCACGTAAAGTGCCATTTCTACAAGTAATAGGGAAAACCTATTAACTAAGAGCTGGAAAGGGTCTTAGAACTAACATATTTACATGCAGTTAAGTGCATTGAGCTTGGAGTCCATAGGCCAAGGATTTGAACGTGATCTTGGACAACTTTCTTAATTTTTTCAACCCTTAGTTTACTCATCTGAAAATGGGATACATTTGAAAAGGCAGGAAAGTATAATGCTTTTAAGGGAATTTTGGCTCTCAGCCTTCACTGTGCAGGGCTGAGGTTTGTCCCCCTGTCAATGGGGGTGGTAAACTGATGCCTACCTCACAGGATGCTAGTGAGGTATAAATGGAAGAATGCATAAAAAGCATGGTACTTGGATCACAAGTGGTCAATAAACTTTATTTTTTTTAAAGACCATGCACTTAAGAGCTTTTAAAAATAAGCACTAAGAGGTAGCACATAGTAGCTATGACTCTAATCTATGACCTCTGCCCCTCCAAAGCCCTACCCACAACCCAGAGCAGTCCTGACCTTTCATTTTATTTTAAAAAGGCTTTTTTGCTGAATTAAAAAAAATTTAAACTTCTTCTCTAGAAAACCAATTCTCATAGATTGGAAAAAGCTAGATGACAGAGTGTTGTTCCAGTTCCACAGGGGGCACTTGACCAGGGATTAGCTGTCCACTCTCTGCTTCTGCACCCTGAATCCTCACTTCCATAGAACCCCTCAGGGCAGCCACTTCCACCTTATGATTCTGCTGAGTCTGATGTTGGTCAGGATGATGCTGAAGTTCTGTGATTGACAGGGTAGCATAATGGGGCCAGTGACAGTAATAGGAAAGTCAGGGACAAATACAAGTGTGAGAGTGGAGGGTGGGGTGATTGATGGGGAGGGGGAGGGAGAGTAGGAAAGAGAGAAACAGACCGGACAAGCTGATTGATTGAGGGCAGAGGCGATGACCAGAGGAGGACATCAGTGATGGAGGAGGGAGATAGTTAGTGAAACTAATAATACTGAGAACAAATAGTAATTTCCCTCCAGCACTTCGTGAACACTTATTTGTTAGCCAATTTGCTACCCACTCTGCATAGATTATTTCATTCAATCCTTTCAAGAATTTTAGGAGGTATATACTTCTATTAACCTTCTCCCCATTTTGTAGATGAACAAACATAGGCACTGAGAGGTTAGATAACTTGCTTAAGGGCACACAGCTAGAAAAGGATACAGATGGATAAAATCACATTTTGGGTTAATTTTTGAGCTTTTAACTACTTCATTTCAGAGACTCTTAGGGACCAATAGAAGGAAAAAGTAGTATTAGTATTATTAATAGAAGCAGTAGCAGGAGTATTAACAGCAGCAGCTACAACTGGCTGAGTACTGTTTTGTGGTAGGCATGGTGATAAGTACACATAATATGATCTCATTTAACTGCAGGGGTAATTTGAGATAGTAGATGTTCTTACTCCAATTGAACAAAAAAGAAAACTGGCTAGGTTGACAGTAACTAGACGAAAGTCATACATCTAAAAGACGACAGCAGGGATTAAGATCCAGGTCAGCCAAGCACCAGAATAGCCACAAAACACTAATTTCTTATGTTCTCAGATTCAATGCTTCCAACTATTGAACCAGAGAAATTTCCATAAGTGTTTTTTTAAAATACATTTTTATTTATTTCAGAGAGGAGAAAGGAGAGGAAGAGAGAGATAGAAATATCAATGATACGAAAGAATTATTAATCAGCTGCCTCCTGCACACTCCTACTGAAAAATGAGCTCACAACCTGGGCACTTGCCCTGATCTCCTGGTTCATGGACAGACATTTAACCACTGAGACACACCAGCTGGGTTCTGCAAGTGTTTTTACAGACACATTCTTGGGCCCTTCCACCAGAGCTTCTAACTCAGTAAGTCACGGTTGGATCTATGAACCTAAACTTTTCAGAAATTCCCTAAGTGATTTAAAAAAATTTTTTCAAATAAGACTAAATTTTTTCAATAATCTAGTAAAAGTTTGCATAAGTATCCAACAGTATAAAAATATATTTATATATTAAATATATTAATATTATGATGACATACAGTATATTCCATAGTCAAAGAGGTAGATAGGGAAAAAGAATACTGTGATTGAAGTCTAGTGATATATAGATACAGAAGTAGAGATTACCCCTATTTCAGTATATTCTACCACCAATACTAAAGTGAGAAGGTAAAAAAAAGAAGAAAAAAAAGAGAACAATTTCCAAATAATTCAGGAGGAAGATGAGGATGGCTGGGACCTGAAAGATTGTGGGAGAGTAGCCCCAATTCACTGTGTCATCTGCATATGATGGCTTCTAGTTTTTTCTAATAGGAATAATTTAAATTTTAAGTTTAGATTAAGAACTACAAAACTATAGGCACACAGAAAAAATGCTCACTCCTTATTGCTATGTATATGATTCAATTTTAAAATCCAGTTTAAAAATAAGCAGAGTCGGCTGATCCTTTCTCATCATGCATAATCTGACCTAACAAAATATTTTCCCTGAACTTTTAGAAAAGAGGTAATGAGAGTATTTTAGTTTAGATTCAAGTAACAGACTTTTCATAAAGATTTTAGAATTGAAGGGCTCCATGCTTGGGATTTATCACCTCACATCTCCATGTTCAGAAAGCATGACTACAAAGAAGTCAAACCAAAACCATCCCACTGTGCATGAACACAAACCTCTTTTTTTTTTTTTTTAGTAGAATTTTACTTCAATATAGATGTAAAAAACAATTCTAGACCTAATAGATTAAAACAAATAAAACAACCACTCAATAGAGATAAAACCTTCACATAGGTCAACCAAACTGATCCAGAAATGCAATTGTGCTGATTTTCTATGAAGTCACCAGCAAAGGTCATTCTCAAGTTACAACCAAGCTCAATAATCGCTCTCACACACATAAAGGTCTTGACTGCTTCTTGAAAGACTGCCTGTTGTAAGGACTGGATGTGCCATGTTATGTTTCCTGCACTTACCCCATCCCTTAAGCTCAGCGCTGGCAGATGTGCCACAAAAACTTCCTGACCTGAGAAATTTTCACCAGGGATCATGCTCCAAGTGGGGGATTCAATGAGTTAAGAGAATCCAGGTAATTGGCCTAAATCTCTTCTCTAGACACCATTCCACTCTTACTCTCAAATGGACACAGTAGCATCACACCAATGAAAACATTTCCTTACCTAAAACTCGTAATCTCTCAGCTCCGACGACTACTTCATTGCTATCTGCAGAGAAGAGCAATTTTCCAGAAACTGTCTTTACTTCAAACCTTTGGCCATAGGCTTCTACAGCCTTTGGACCTGGAAAAGAGAGGGAGAATACATTAGCCTCACTGCATTCAATTACAAAGAATGCGTACATCTGACAAGATTGCATTGGACTCCAATGTAAGTGGATTGGTTTTCAGAAGTCAGCCATGAAAATCAGGCTCATGATTTCAGCCATGTCTTATAAATTATCTTTTATCATATGCTCTCAGGCTATGATTTTAAAGGCCATCATGTCCTTCTTCCATGTCCTTCTAATGCTTGAATGAGATTTCCCTCAGCTTAACCACCAAATTACTATCAATTATTGGTATGTGTAGGTTTCAGTTTGACTACATCAAGGCAAAGAAGTCTCACAACCTCATGAAGCAACCAGTTATCTTTGATCACTCCAACTGTTGTAAAAGGGGACTTTAAGTTCAGTTGAAATCTGTCCCAGGCAAATCTATTTCCTCAGTATATATATCCTTTCCTGGCAGGAAAGGTTATAATATCTTGTAATGACTTGCCTAGGAAGTTGTTGAATCTTTCATGCTATAATTTTATTTCATAAAAAATAAATTTCAGAGGGTTTATCATATGACAGAAAATGCTATTCTTGAAGGTGGGACTATGGCAGCATAAAAAGAACAAGATGCCTGGTCCCAAAACACTTACATTCTGATAGAGACAAGTGCATATAAGTTGAAATATCTGATATAATAAAAGGCTAATATACAAATTGTCCTCTTAACCAGGAGTTTGATTGGGAATTTGACCAGGGGGTGGGGCTGGCCGGCCAATTGCCCATTATCCTCTCCTTGGCCAGCCCAGCCCCGGATTGCCTCACCCACCCCAATTGGGGGAGGGGCTGGCCAGCCAACCATCCTAAGCCCCTCCCTCTAGCCTGCTCTGCCAGTTTAGCTCTGATGGGGGCAGGCCAGCGAGACTTCAATTGTGCACGAATTTGTGCATCGGGTCTCTAGTTTATAAATAAATAGACACAGAGGATTTTAGCTACTATGGGAAAAGTAAAACAGGTTAATGTGCTAGAATTAAAAAAAGAAAAAAAAAAAAGAAAAAAAAAAAAAAAAAAAAAAAAAAAAAAAAAAGGAAGGAGACAATTTAGTCTGCCTGAGCTAGAGCTACCTGACACATGAAGTTCATCACAATAAGTCAGTGTTATCACCCTCATCAAGCTCAGGTCAGGTTACAAAGGAACTTATCGTTTGTCCTGGAAATTCATACAGAAAAAAAAATTGAGGTTAGGATATAAAAATCTTATATTTAACCAGAATTTTCCAGGAGATTTTGATATAGAATTTTTGTTTCCTTCTCATTATTAATAAAATGTAGGAATAAAAGAGTCCTCATATCTTCCAGGCAAAAATGGCCAGGAACACAGCAGTTGTTGAACAAGTTGAGTTCAGTACACATTGCTATGAGGGAGAGGCACACCCAAGGGAACCACGGGAGGCATGCTAGTAATAAGAAGGACTTATTATATAGTATTTGGCCTTATATTAGCTTGTTTAGGGCTGGGTTTAAGGAAGTAAGATTTTGCTTGGAATTAGCTGCTGTTAGGAAGTGGGGGTAATTATGTGATTGGTATCTTAATAAGTCTTTTCTAGAGGTTGGGAAGACCAGAACCATACCAAAAGTGTAATGGATAAAGAAACAACAGTTCTATTAGCTAGGATAGAGGAATGTTGGTCATTTTTGTGGTTTGGATAAATGTTTTTATTCTGTCTGAGCTGTCTTTGTTTTGTTTTTATCGTTCCTGGCCACTGAGTGGCCTTGTCTGGTGTTGATGCTCTGTGGAATTATTTATGGTCAAATAGGGCAAACCTGAAGGCTTGGTTGCCAGTTCCTGGCCAGCCCCTGGATGTCTGGGGCTGCTCATTTTCTGGTAATGTGACTTTCGGCAAATCATTCAGTCTTTCCGAACCTCATTTTTTGCATCTGTAAAATTGTACTATCACCCTATCTTATCTACCCCATCAGAAGTTTAAAATGATCACATTCCACTGATTATAAAAAGAACTTTGGAGGCAAAAAACACTGTGAAATGTAGGGGATTTTTTTCTGTGATTGTCTCATCTAACACGGTGGTCATAACACACTGAAAAGAATTATGGCCAGAACCTTAGGACACTTGCCTCACGCACATGATCACATCCACCAGGCATACCTGATCTCTTCCCAGAACATCCACAACAGTCCTCTGGTAAAAAGGGCATTGGGAGCTTCTTAGCGAGTGGGGAACTGAACTAGCAGACACAACCCCAAATTTCCAATGGCCCAGGCCTCCTGGGCATTGTCTTCTCCAACTGCTCCATGCTGCAGGTGAGAAGAGTGCCTGACAGGAAGATTGAGTGCTCTCTCAAGGTCATCAGGTGAATTAGTGGCAGATCTGGGTCTGGAGCTGAGCTTTCATAATTGCTCCACAGTAAAAACACACACACACACACACACACACACACACACAAAAAAAAACACACACCGATGTTTATTTGTTTGGGAAGGAGGAGGAAGATTGAATCAACATGAGGAGCAAATAAAAAAGGAGCTTGTAGAGGATGAGGGAAGTAGAAAGCTGGAAACAAGGACCAGAGAGAGAGAGCACCTGAAAGAATAGAGATGTATGGCAAGGGCTTTGGATTCATTTTCCTGGGAGGGCTAAGATGCGCTGCCTTCTTGGTAATACCCTAACCTTCAGGACAGTCTGTATTACTTGTCAATGCTCCCGGTTACCTTTTTTAGGGGGGTGACTTGGGAGCAGGAGATAAAGAAGTGCTAATGAATGAATGAATGAATGACGCTGGAATGGTCACAGGTGAGCCCAGGTTGACTACTCTAGATCCAATCAGATGGCAAAGTGGTGGCATGACTGGGAACACAGACACTTGAACTTTGCCTCCATGGACCTGGGCCATCACATGAGATGGGGCTCCTGGGGGAGTTGAGACCACCTGCCTCTGTGTAAACTGTGTTTACTCCCAACTTATGAATGGAACCTGTGACGTACAGGAGAGTGTACTGACGAGATGACAGCAGTAATCAGAGAACAGAATACACAACTAAGTTACTTGCTTTGCAGGGCTTTTCAGTACACAAAATAGAATGTACCGAGGGCCAGACCCAGTACTGGGGATCAAGGCCCAACCAGGGCATATGCCCTGAGCAGGAATTGAAACAACCTCTTGGTTTCCAGATCAACGTTCAACCACTGAGCCCATTAAGTGGTAGTTTTAGCCAAAACCTCACAGAAAGACTGAGGTTTGTGCTTTTGTCAATTTCACCTGGGGCTGCCAAACCTCCTCGGACATGGGGAGATCTTAAAAAAAAGATTTTAGGATAGCATTTTCAACCAGTGTGCCCTGGCCTGCTGGTGTACCACAATAATTTTTAATACCTGACTGTTTAGTCAAAGGCACTGACCTCTTTCCCCTTAGATTATCAAATAATGACAACTGCCAACACAACAATAGTCATCTCATGTGAATGAATCAACATTATACCAGTTGTTTTGGTTAGATAGGCAAACAATATAATTTTGGTGTACTGTAGAATTTTAGGAACTTGTGTACGTGTGCCATGAGATGGAAAAGGCTGAAAATCGCTGTTCTAGAGATAATTCAAGTGGAATCAGAGACTTGACTACTCAGGAGGTGAACCCATTGTTCCTCTTGGGGTAGAAAAACCCACTATATGTAACCTGGAACTAATCTACAATTCCCCCCTCCCCCCCATTGCATGATAGTCTGTATGGGAAGTAAAGCACCTTTTCCATTAATCTTCTCCAAAGGATGACCTGGAACCCACCAGGATGCATCTGCAGTGGCCATCAATATGGATGCCAGAAAGGCCTACAGTCTACCCAGTAAATTTCTTTCCCCAACTCTCTTGATACTGGGTCCCTTCCCCACTCTGGTGAGATGTTGTGGAAGATTCCCCCACTATTTTATTGTGACAGGTCCAAGGGTTTCCTGCTATGACCCACTACTGAGCAGACACTAAAATCAGCAGTGGTCTAAGGTAAAAATCTATTTTTGGTCTAGCCTGGGAACTTAACCATCACTTAAAACATTGCTTCATCGGAAAAGGGTACATGAATTGCTAATATTGGAATTTCTTCTGGGCTTTGAGATATTCCTTAGGTAAACAGGAATTCTTCTCTTCCCCCCTCCTCAATGTTTTTATTGATTTGAGAGAGATGGGGGGGAAAGGGGGGACAGAGAGACAGAAGCATCAATGAGAGAGAAATATCAATCGGCTGCCTCCTGCACACCCAGTACTGGGGATCAAGGTCCAACCAGGGCACATGCCCTGAGCAGAAATTGAAACAACCTCTTGGTTTCTAGGTCAACGTTCAACCACTGAGCCACACCAACTAAATGGGAATTCTTGAATCTTATGGGTTGCCATAGTAAATATCGACTTTTGGATGACAGGAGTCATTTGCTCTTGGATAAGTAAACCAGCAACTTAGAGGAATCTCCTGGAGTTGCAACTCTGTGCATAAATGTCAATTGGAAGCCTGAAGGAAAACTTTCGGGGTGGGGTGTGTGTGAGTAGAGTGCTTAGAATTAGGTTTTGAACACATCTGCTATCCTCTTTAGAAATCATATTAAAAGGCTCTTCCCAGCTAGTGGTAGAATGGCTTTTTGCTCATCTCTTGCTAACATTAGCTATCTTGTGCCTGGCCTTAAGAATTAAGGATAGGTGTGTCAGCTCCCAAGAGGGGCTGACTTGGGCAGGAGAGACAGAAAAACAGAAGACTGGGAGGGAGGGAGGAGCGAGAGTGGAGAGAACAGGAGGGAGAGGGAGAGGGAGAGGGAGAGGGAGAGGGAGAGGGAGAGGGAGAGGGAGAGGGAGAGGGAGAGGGAGAGGGAGAGGGAGAGGGAGAGGGAGAGGGAGAGGGAGAGGGAGAGGGAGAGGGAGAGGGAGAGGGAATATGAATTAGAATGAATGAGGAGAAAAGAAAGAAATGAGGGGAAAAACTGCTTCTTTGCTAAGAAATAGTCATTTGGGCAGTTTCAGCTTCATAAAAACAAAATCTTTCAAATCAACCAAATCTCCCACTGCGAATAAATGGCAAATGATCAACAGGCTAAATAAGTTCCTTTTGAATGTGGAACTCTGGGAGCTGGAGGTTGGATTTATTCCCCTCCTGGAGGCAATTTTCACACAAGCTACTTAAATCATTGCTTACTGAAGCTGTTTATTTAATTATTTAGCATTGTGACTGTGGGCCAGATGTTCGGGAAGCCTCGCCAACAATCCACATGCGTGCCCGCCGGAACAACCTGTTTATGGACTGCTCTTTCCACCCCTGAATTCTTCACTGGTAGATGGTCCAAGTCACCCACGGGCTGTGGACCCCAGACAGCCATAGGCAGGGCTCCTGTGGAGCAGACAGGGAGGCTCTTTCCCAGCCAGACTGGGCACGCAGGCATCCATTTCCCTGAGCCATGCGTGTTAGTGGGGCTCCAGATGTTTCAGTTGCAGTAACATTTCATTCAGGGCAGGTGGGCAACTGCCTTCGCAAAATGTCCATCTGTATAGTTTCCTCTCAGCCTTGAGGCCAAAAAAAGGCATTTTCTGTTTGGACGTAGAACAATGCCATTCAGACACCCCCTTTTTTCCTTTTCACTGTGAGGTGCTTGCTGGCTTCTGTTTACTGCTGCTTGTGACTTACTGAGGAGGCACTGGCTAAGCCACGGAGGCACTGGTCATACCACACAGCACGTTACCATGGCCTTGAGGCCCCTGTTTGTCACCAGAAGCATTACTGTGAACAACCAATCCCTGTTTACATTTCAGGAATATGTAGCTTAGAACCCTGGAGGTGCTTTCCACAACTGTTAAGGGCAAATCTGTTACCTGAAAAGGAGCCACACAAACATTTTCAGTGGGGGTACATCTGCATCTTGCAACTGAGGTAAGGTGAAAGTCAGTGAATCTGGCATTATTAAAAATCCCTTTTATACCCCATGAAGTATGGTGAGCACCATTTTGTGTACACTTCACTCTCTCAACTAATCAACACAGCCAGCTTTCCTCCAGTGCTGGAGCAGAGCTATTTTGTGGTTGACACTAGAGGAAGCCCTTGGCTTGTGTTTAGGGGCGATGCTACATGAAAACCAATCTATTCCCCCAAACAAGTATCATTGGATTTGCATACGTTAAATGTGTCTTTAGGAAGACACTACCCTTTGGTAGAACCATAGAGCACATGCTACCTTCCCTTTCTCCACCCTGTAAAATGTGCTTCCTTTAGATCACATGGTTTACATTCAAGCTTTGGCTGTGCATTTTCTGAGTGCTTAGCATGGATCAAGTGATGTAAGATTCTTTCTTCTCTTACCTGTTATCAGCCGAGTTAGCACTTTAGTCTGGTCATTGAGAATGTTCACTGTCACGTTTCTGGCTGATTTGAAGTATAGGGCATTACCCTGTAATAAGAAAAGAAGAGAAACACATGAAAATGACAGCAGTTTTCTAAACAAAACACTATCACCCCAATTCTTGAAGAGGGCGCACTGATTTTAGTCAAGTTCTAATTGATGTGTCTTTATTTATAAACTTCAAGTGTTTAATGATCCACACACATGTGATAATTCATTGGCATTCATCCAACAGGAATTCCCTCTAAAGAAATACACAGATAGATATACACTCAACATAGACACTCCCTCCCCCACAGGTTGAGTCAGACAAGTGGGCTACATAGAGCCCTTTGGTGTTATTAATAGTTAGCATTAGTACATGTTATGGTAGGGAATGACTGATAACCTCCTACTCTCACCTTCCCTAGCTTATAATTTGTCCAAAGGAACCATGCAGAGTACTTAATAGAGACCATAAAGCTTATGTAAAATAGCTAATGTCTGCCCCGCTAATGTCCACCATCTGTGAGAATCCACAAAAACTGAGGGTGCTTAGTGGAGATTTTTGCCACCCAGGGTACAAAACCCAGAGACTTGGCATCTCCCAGTGGGCCTCTGCCTCCCCTTTTTCCTTGTTTCCAAGTTTCTTTTCCTTCAGGCATTCTGTGCTTTCCTCCCTTATAAGAAGATCTACTAATTCCTTTTTTACACCATTGTAGACATTGCTGAGGATGACTCAGAACAGGGGTTGGCAGACGTTTTCTGCACAGGGTCTGATGGCAAACAGTTTAGGCTTTGTGGGATGTACAGTCTCTGTGGTAACTACTCAACTGCTAACTGTTGTTTTGCCACAAAAGAGCCAGAGACCCATCTTGCCAGACAAAAAGGTATGGCTGCATTCCCATAAAACTTTATTCATCAACAATGACATCATATAATTTAAAATTTAAAATTTATGTGATCTTACTGTATTATGAACTATTTTTCTTCTTTTTCCTCACCAATCATTGAAAAATGTAAAAATTAGATTACCAGAGAGAAAGGGAGGCAGGGGGATGTAAGAGAGGGTAAAAAAGGGATAAATGATGAGGGAAGGAGACTTGGCTTGGGTGGGGATCAACAATACAATGTACAGATGATGTTTTATAGAATTGTACCCCTGAAACCTATATAACTGTATTTTTATTTTTAATATATTTTAATCCTCACCTGATATGTTTATTAATTTGTAGAGAAAGGAGGGGAGAGAGAGAAACATCAATGTGAGAAAGAACCATTGATAGCTTGCCTCTTGCATGTGCCATAACTGGGAATGAAACCTGCAACCTAGATATGTGCCCTGACCAGGAATGGACCAGCAACCTTTTGGTGTATGGTATGATGCTCCAACCAACTAAGACACCTGGCCAAGCACCATATAATTGTATTAACCCATGTCACCCCAAGGAATTAAATTAAAAAAATAACAAATATAAAAATTATCCCATATAAGAATGGGCAGAGGATTGGATTTAGCCCACAGGCCATAGTCTGCATCTGGCTTAGTGTTTTCCCTATCCTGAAGTAAATTAAAGCCATAAATAAAGGATGAATCCCTGACAGAACATGTCAGTAATCAGATAGCTGTTATTAGAAAAAAGAATGAGGGTATTCCTGTCTTCCTAAACCTTTTTTACCACATGGCATAACATGTGCCTGAAATTCAACAACCCAGTATCCACTGAGTCCCAGACTTAGAAAAATCACCGTCCTAAAAGTTGTGAGGAAACTGAAAACTGGCAAGACTTAGTCTTTACTTTTAAAGTCTATGTTCTTTCTACTGGGGACAATGAGATGGGCACCCATATGACACCAGGCAGAGAACAGTAGGTGGTTACAAACAAAGTGTGGGGGAACTTTCCTGAAGAGTAAGATTATTCGTGAAGCTGTGGAGTGGGAAGCAAAGGAGATGATAATGCTTGAGCTGAGCCTTAAAAAGAACACAGCTATGGTCTTATCAAGATGAAATGCAAAAAAGAGGTCATGGAGATAGAAAGGATGTGGGCTGATTGTCTAGTGTCTTTTCCTTCTGAAACTGGTGGGTGTAGGACCCTATCAGTGATACCAGCCTACTGCCTGCGTAAGGCAGGACTATCCTGACAGGTAGCCCACACCCAGGCCTGAGGTGGTTTCCACAGGTGAAAGAGGAAGTTTTCCATGGACAAATAGTCTAGAGTTAAGCTCTGATAAAATGACCCACTCAGGCCCTGAATAACCAGTAGCCTTGTGTGAGAGCTGTTGTCCTAGTGTTGGGGGGCAGATGATGACCTCTGCTACATCAGGGCCACCACAGATTCATCATAATCTTCCACAATGCCTTCAAATTCATATTTTGCCAGATGAAAAGTTTTTAAAATTGGATCAGAGTGAGTAGAAGAAATCCATTAAATCTAATATTGACATAGATTTTTTTCTGGATTAGGAAACAAAAATCAGCCAGAAATAGTTTCTTTGGCATTGCTTCCGCAGTGCTTAGCGACTGTACTTACAACTTAAAAACAATGTTAAGAAAATGTGAGAATTCAGAACTTGGAACCTGAACAGGAGGTTATACGTGTCATGTCTAGAAATTAACACTCTAACATTTCTCTTAGTAGATTCAGCAACATGATGCCACAGAGAGAAGAGCACCTTGGAATCAAGAGAACTGGGTGAGCTGCACGGCCATGACCAATGTGGAGCCTTGAGAAAATGACTTAACTGTTTTGTGGCTTATTCTATGCATTCTCCACCATTAATGAACTCATGGCCCATGTAACTGAACACCCACTATGTGCCATGTGGCAGGAGAATCCTAGAGTCAGCCCATCCCACTTCCAATCTCTACCATTTCCTAGCTGGGTGACTTTGGGCATGTAACTTATTTATTTATTTTTTAAATATATTTTATTGATTTTGTACAGAGAGGAAGGGAGAGAGATAGAGTCAGAATTATCAATGAGAGTCATCGATCAGCTGCCTCCTGCACACCCCCCACTGGGGATATGCCCGCAACCAAGGCACATGCCCTCAACTGGAATTGAACCCAGGACCTTTCAGTCACCAAGCCGACGCTCTATCCATTGAGCCAAACCGGCCTCGGCTGGGCATGTAACTTAATTGAACCAAGCCCTAATTTGTTGTGGCCCTAATCATGCTTCTACGTGATCTCTTGATTTATCAACTTTAGACATTATCCCATTGAATTTCAGCAATGGTACAGATTCTTCCTTACAACTTCAGCTAAATAAATATTTGGAATATACATTATTATCATTATGTTACAGTGTCCACAGCTGAGTCAAGGAGTATTCTTTAACTACACATCCTTTTCCTTTCTTGCACATTTTTATTTTCCTAAAGTCAATAAATGTTAAACATTTTATGTACACTAAGTACCTAGAACATGTTATATACTATTCTAGGCCCTGTAGAATGGAAAAGACATGACATTTATATTTGGGAAGCTCCTTGCCCATGGGGAAATGGAGTCAATGCAAAGTTACCATAACAACAACAAGATATCACTTCAATTGATATCTATGCTTTCCTGGTATGAAAGGCACATACTTTAATATTTGTCCTTGATGGCAGCTATATCACCACAGTATGTTCTGAAAATCCTAGATGGTGGTATACAATATTTGCCTTGCCCTCTGAGGAGCTAGCTACCTGATCTGGGAATTGAGATAGATGGAGAAAACCACAAGATAGTACATAAACAACTTCTACATTCAGGGAAGACTTTCAACTCTTAGTGCAAAGGAAGTTCAGAGAAGAAAGGGATCAATATGATAAGAATCCTGAGGGTCTTCCCAGATGAGAGGTTGGCTAGCTTTTGTCTTTTCAGGATGATTCACAATAGCATAGTTTCCATCTAATGTTAACTTGGATAACAAGGGAGGCTGGCCTTGTGAAGGTTCAGAGCGTAAGCTGTGTAGCCAGACAGATCTGGGCTGGAATCACAACTCTATTTTTAACTAACTGTGTGTAAAACGTTTACATTCTTTGAGCTTCAGTTTCCACATTTATGAAATGAAGTTAAAGGTTACCTAATGGTATTGACATGAGAACAAAGACAATGCATGTCAAGTGTTAAGCACAGGGGCGACCAAAATACTTTATAAACTATAACAAAGGAACAAACAAAACATACATTAGGAGGGCTCCTTAAAAAGTAGCTTATTCTAGGTATGGGGCAGGAAATATAAAAGATGATCCTGGAACATCTTTTTAGTGCCAGAAAGGAAAAAAGTGCTTAGGAAACAAAGAAACTGACAGAAAAACACCCCACAATTATGAGAGGATGTCAAAGGGACACAGGAGACAACAAAAGAGCTCCAAATGCTGGAACAATTTGAACAACAAAATAAAAAATGTAGTATTGAATTATAACCCAAATCATAACGTAAATATCCATGAGCTCATCCTGATATAAAATAAATGATTGAATAGATAAATAAGTGGGAGAGAACAAACACATCTCCCAAGTGGAAGAATTCCTAACATTTTTCATAGTTAACTCCCCATTTTATTTATATATATATATATATATATATATATATATATATATATATATATATAAAATTGATTTTTTTATAGAGAGGAAGGGAGAGAGAGAGCTAGAAACATCGATGAGAGAGAAACATCGACCAGCTGCCTCTTGCACACCCCCTACCGGGGATGTGCCCGCAACCAATATACATGCCCTTGACCGGAATCGAACCTGGGACCTTTCAGACCGATGCTCTACCACTGAGCCAAACCAGTTTCGGCAACTCCCCACTTCTTAAAAGTGGGCTGCACATAGTAACTTCCCTTCAAAGAGTACAGTGTGGGAAGGTGGATGGTAACTTCACAACAGAAAAATCTGATGAACACTGGCTTAGTCAGGTCATTAAGGTCAACATCAACAGTGATGAATCATGTTAATAGTATGCACCCTTGATATATGTGGATCTCCTCTTTAAAACCCATAACCCTCATCTAGTAATGAGAAAAAAAATCAAATAAGTCTTAATGGAGGGTCCTTTTATAAAATACCCAAC